CGTACGAGTCTTATTCGTGCAGGCACTATAATATAACAAACGAGACAAGGTTGTGATCGATCCTAATGTATAGTGAGGGTTGATCGATGACGCTGAACAAGTTGGAAGTGGTTCAAATTTATATCTCGTATATTTTTCGAGATATTGATGTTACGATCACTATACACGTAAAGTATAAGTATATGTAGTTAATCTATTCTTTAAAATAAATTTTACACCGTTGCAATGGTCACTATATGTATAGTACAGATCTATATCTTGGGGATGTAACCTTGGGGGAAAACCTATATTGTAAAAAGGTAATTATGATTTTCTAAAGGTACCATTGATTTGGAACCACTTCCTACATGCTCAGCGTCATCAATTTACCCTTACTACGCAGGTCAAATTTTGCATATTATTAAAATTTACTAAATTGTACACGATTTTTGTGATTTTTCTGTTATTTAATAGAAAAATTTACTGTTAGTATAAATAAAAAATAACTTTTGCAAAAATGAATTTATAAACTAATTAATTCAGAATTATTGCGAGGAACTTAACACACTGATTAATATTTTCTTACAGAAGAATTTGTACGGATCTCGAATGTCGTGGTATTTTAGCTAATTGTGTTACCGTATATAGTGGAAAACAATCATAAAATAAACAATGTAGTGTTAATCTGTTTACTATTATAATGCAAGAAATTATATTATAGTCTAAAATATCTGTAGTAGCGTATCTCTACAAAAATTTATATTAAGTAAGTCAGCTGATTGCGTTGAGAAGTGAATTGAAAAGCTTACATAATTTTTTGTTTTGTTTTACATTTTAATAAATTAAACTATGTATATATGTATGAATGCGTGTATGTTATGTTTTTTACGATCCTTAGAGTTAAAGGGAGATCAATATTTTGAAATGAATAAACAAGCATATTCGTAAATTAATCAATTTAAAGATATAACAAATATATAAATTAGAGTACTTACTTTCCATAGAACTTCCATTCAACCCACTGACCAGTTGTGAAACGATATTCAAACAAGTCATTTTTGTTGGTCAAGTTGGAATTGGAGTGAATATCACCAGTGTAGCCTCCAAAAACGAACATAGAACACCCATGTACCACAGCAGAGTGATGGTATCTAGGAGCTGGTGGTTGGCCAGTAGCAAATGCTCTACCCCAGGACTTTTCTTTTACATCAAAACGTAGCAGGTCATTTAGCATTCTCTTTCCATTGTCTCCTCCAAACACATAAATTGCATCTTTGTAAGCTACAACCGTATGTTTGCTACGTCTAGAAAAAACAACGTTAAATATTAGTTACAGTGGACTCCAAATTAAGCCATTAAGAAAAATTAGCAAAAAAAACAAAAATTACCTGGCCCCAACGAATTCGTCGCATTCTGGCATTCGCTGCCAGCGGTGGACAGTTTCGAAAGGCCCAAAGTCCAGAACCAAACACTCAGGAGGATAGTTGTTGTCCATGGTTAATGATTCAAGCCTATTCAGAGCCAAAAGCAAAAACCAAAAATCGATGCACCAATTCACCAGCTATCGAGAATCAAGATTTTCCTCTTCAGAGTAAACAGACATTGTTTGTAATTTCTCGAAACAAAATTATAATAACACTACGTAGTTTCGGCATTTCAACTTATCGCTTATGAGTTTAGTTTACTCAGCTGTTACACACTCCTGCTTCTTTTTCTGAATGTATGCAGTTATTGATTCAAGCATGCGGTATTCATTCATTACTAGTTCGTGAAGGTATGTATATATAAAAGAACAGTGGCAACGAGTATTGGCGATGACGCCCGAAGAACAACGAACGACGGGTGGGACACTGTTACTCATACACATAAAGAGACATATAAAAGGGGAATTTCCTTTGGGAACGGTTTTCATCTTACTTAGTGGTATATTACATTCTCCTTAGTGTGGCAGAAAAAATACCTTCTTAAATTCATCCAATATTTTCTCTTGCTTACTTGATGCTCATCGATGAATTTTAACAGTATAGTATGGAGATAGTCTTTCATGTAGACATAATGAAGGAATGTTTTAGTATTGATTAAAAATTTATTGGCTTCCATAAAGGTATACATAGTACGTGAGTGTAATACGTAGGCTATATATCTTCGACAATACGTTAGGGATAGCGGCGTAGCGAAACATACTTAATACCTAACAGTAAATTATATAAATTATTACAAGTATCATCACATGCACGTTTCGTAATTCTATAGAAATGCATGAATCCTTGCAAAACACAGACTTCTGATAAATATCTAAAATAAATCTTGTAGATGTATTAAAAGCTCTAAGAAGTCTATAAGATTTCTTTTACCTTAACAGAAGTTTATGTTTACTGAGATGCAGATACTCTAGTAACTGCTGCCATCTTTCGACATGTCTTTTTACCATCTTGAAGCGGAAGTATTTCAAATTCCTGGAAAAATTATTGTGTTGGAAAGTAAAAACCTATTTAATTTTATAATGGTTATTATTTATGTTATTAAAAAGTCGGTTCGTTATGATAAGACATGGAAATTTTTGTCATCTTTTTTGATCCACAATTTTAAAATATCATGCATAAGTTTTTTTAATTATTTATAACATTTTAGGTGAATTAACGATATAACAAAAAAAAAAATCGCTAAAAAAATAATAAATTATGCCCGAGAATAGCGCTGGAAGGGTAAAAAAAAAAGGTTTGGAAAGTAAACAGGAATGCCTTGGACAAGAAGATTGACTTTCCATTAGGATGCTTGCACGAGAAATTAGATGTAGATATATTCGACTTAGAAATATACATAAAAGAAATAAATATAATAAAAGAAACGATTGTGTGAGGTAGGGTATTCAATTCATCGCTGTTGCTATACTATATACTATGCGTTTCGTATGTAATAAATTTTTTAAAGATTTATGAAGTCATTAACTATAATTAAGAGTTTGATAAAAATAAAAAGACTTTATCAATAATAATATTAACAATAGTAATGATAATAATAGTAGTGGTGGTGATAAAAATGATAGCAATAACAATAAAAGTGTTTTCAGAAAAATTAGTGTCTGTTCCAATTCATATTCAGCGAATTAAACATGTTTTGATACATTTATTTTTCAAATAAGAGAAATTATAAAATGCAGAAAACTAAAATAATATATATATATTTCATTGGTATGAAAAAAATTTTTTTTTAATTCACAATGTGTAAATTAATTTAAAAATCTTTTAAGCCAATCTCGTATGCCAAATGAAATAATATTCAAGTTGAGAGACTGCATGTGTAAAGAAACTCAAATCTGGAAACCTCCTCATAGCAATTTAAATTGAGCTTTTTGTGAAAGTATTTGATAAAATTTTGTTTCAAATTATAACCGCAGATTGAGTAAAAAATGAGATTGAGGCTTAAAAAATTATGTATGAATTAATTCCGGGCAAACGTTGAGTATTCAATATTTCAAAAAAAAAAAAAAAAAAAAAAAAAAAAATCTGGAAATTCAAAGTGATCGGTGATCCGTTGGGGGCGAAATGTGAGAAAATAAATAAGTACAAGTAAAGTGTATTTAAATTTTCTTGCGTTGATTTATTAATGCGCAACGTTTCGCTGACAATATGCGTCAGCCTCATCAGGCGCAAGTACGCGAGAATTTGTAAGTTTGGTTGACTTACTCGTCACCTGTCGTGCTATCGACTCACTAACGGATCACCGATCACTTTGAATTTCCAAATTCACCGGAGGGCACTGATATATACTAACAAACCAAAAAAAAAAAAAAATCATCCAAGTTTCCCGAAAAAAATCGGTATCGTTTGTGCACTGTCGCATTATCTTTCTGGTCCGCGCAAATTTTCATAATCCAAACCCAAATTCAGGTATCTCGTATCCACCGCCGTCGCCACCGAGAGGTGCGCTCAGGCGAACTTTTGCAATATCGCAGTCGCGCAACCCCCCGCTCGTCAAGACGCGGCACATAAACGCCTCGGCGACCCAGTCCCTCCAGACGACCGTCAGCCTCGACACCGAGGGCATGGAGGAGCGCAGAAGGCGGCTCGAGTCAACTCACCGGGTCGCCTCCACCAGCAGCATAGCCGAGGAAAAGGTACGCGATACTTTGTCCCCTCAAAACACCTGCCCACTCTCACGCGGCTCCATTTCGTTCTCCGCAGAAGTGAAGAGCAGTCACGGGACTGCAGGGATCAAGTTTTCAGGCAATAAAGCTGCCGTCGTTGGCATCAGCAGTAGCACCGGCTACCGGGACCGGCTCTTTTGGATGCACGGGGACACCGTCGCCGGGCTTTTATTTCCGTAAAACGCGGAAGCGCGCGGGTGCTGCACACACCCGTTGCGCTTTCGGCAGCGGCGCCAGGGCTACGGGGACCAAATCCACAACTGTACATCACTCCGCCTTTTTCCACGTTTGTTCGGCCGGCGGGTCTACTGCGCGCGTCCTTATACTCTTACTGTTATACACCACCAACGCAATATACCACCGCTCGAGTGTGCATATACGTGTAACCGTCGATATATGTCCGCTGGAGCTTTGAAAATCAATTGGCGATGTGTACTGGGAAATTTTTGTAATCGGTAAGTCGCAGCTGATGCGTATTATGTGCGTGTGGGTGTGTTTGCGATTGTCACGCATCCTTTTTTTGTTTTGTTTTGTTTTTTTTTTTTTCTTGCAGATTGGGGCCACTTCGAAGACAACGTAAAACTTTTATGATAGATTACAGCTGTTACTACGACGCGCTACGGCGAACACAATTTTTCTTACTCTGCAAATAAAGGAAATATTTATCAAGAGCGAAGAAAAGGAGAGAATATCTATCTATGTATGTGAGTTGTCGAATGAGACAGCAAACGCAATTTTTTCGAATCGTTCGTTTAATATGAACTTTTTTCTGTGAATTTGATGATAATAAAAGAGAAAAAAAAATGAAAAAAAAAAAAAATAATACAACGTAGCTCCTTAATTCTTAAGCGATCTACAACAAAGGCCTACTTAGCGTAATTATTATTAATCGTGATTGTACATCTAGTGATGAACAAAGAAAAAAAACATAGAAGTATACTAGAATACTTAAATGCTTCGTAGCGATCGGGTGTATTGAACGCGAACACGCGATAATAGTAAAATTTGTTAATAAAAAGTAAAAACCAAAAAAAAAAACAAGTGGTTTTAAATTCGCCGCTCATTCGCGTTAATTGAATTTCACTGAATTCAATGTATCAGCTGAGAAAAAAATATTTGAAACAAAAATACAATTGTCGGGAGACCAACGATTTAAGTTTGTTATTCAGACAAAGAGTTAAGTTCTTCGAGAGGGAAGCATCCATGCAAATGATTGTTTCGTTGAAATATACGTAGGTGAAATAAGAAATTGGAAATCAACAATGTTATGAAAAAGTTCGTAGCGCAAAAAGCGCGTCAAAAATAAATGAAATAATTGGGACTTCAAACGATGTGCACTATTATGTATTGTGTACACATTTGTTTTTAAATGAGAAAAAAAATACTGAAGGAATGTTTGTACCTTGAGCTGCGGCTTTTGTTCTTTTATTGTGTACGTCAAAACGTATGGTAAAATTGAAAAAAAAAAAAAAATCAGCAAATGAAATTGTATGAGAGCCACGAGCTTGCACCTGATAAAAAGTAATATTGTGAAGAAATAAAGATTGAAAATATAATGCATAATTTATTACAAATGTTTTTGTCTAATGTCCATAAATACTTCCCTCAATCATGATATGGGTTTTCATACGAAAATGTTTTAAAAATACATTAATTGTTAACGATTTTTATTTTTGAGGATTTCTACGTAAAACATAATGAGTTGAACATAAAAATGTGATAATTTCATTTTTATAAAGTTCTACGAATAAAACTTTTACATAAAGTAACATTTCACAATATACATTTATATGTAAGTATACAAATTTGTGTATGTACATATCTAAGATAAAAAACTAAGTGATGGGACACTTGATTCTAGAGGGTAATAAACATACGAAATAATTTTAATTTGGAAATGAAAACTTTTATTTATAATCTATGTCATTGGAACTAGGTCATCGAATTTAAACATCCGTCCATGTCAACCTTGTACTGTAAAAAATATCAAATGCAAAAAATCGTACGTGCTTTAATCTTAGAAATATATTACAGGGTATCATTGAAATGATATAATAAATTATTGATTGTAGCAATATAATGTACATAATAGTATAAATATGGTCCAATTCGAATAAAAAATAGCAGAATAATTTTGGGTGTGGTATATTTTCGAAGTTTCTGCTTCCGAACTCAATTTTTCATCAGTTACATTAAAAATTAGTTTTAAAAACTATTGACTGGTCAATTCAATGTTTGTTCTTCTAAATAATCAAATTTCTAGTTTAACCATAAAAAAATTTTTCTGGTTGTATAATGTAGGTAAATGACAATTTTTAAAAATAAAAAAATCGTACTTATCTCCAAAAAAAGTAACCTGGTACTAGGTCTTTTACCTTACACTATGTACAAAGATGGTAAGTAACAAACCCAAGCTGATAAAAGGGTGTGAGGAGGGAGGCAACCTCTAGCTAATCAGAGGTCTAAGGTATTACATAAGATAGTCATAAGTTATTACAATTTACACTTAAGTATACATTAATGTACTCTGGAGTTTGCCTCTCCCATGACGTCTGGCCATTCAATATCTACCACAAACCGGAACTACGTAGCAAGTTAATATGTGACAGCAGGTATATTGAGTATGGCAAGTTGTCGAGATTTTTATCATATTGAACCGTCTACTCTCACAAATTCTGGTAGATATAAATAAAGCCATTGTAAATTCACATATACTTTCACTATTTAACTGGCGCCTGCACATGTTTTTTTAACTAATTTATTGTACAGTCGCAATTTTTATAGGTAGCAGATCAAAAAATAATCCAAACAGCTTACTAGGAGAAACATCACAGTCATTTTTTAGAGTCATTTTTTACTATTTCTCTCTCAGACATTTAACTTATGATGCTTACAATGATTTCTGGTGTTTTCTTACTCATTGGATCGAACACGGTTTTAAGCCTAATTCTAGTACTTACAATTAGTTTCTAATTTTAAAGGTAGTTCAGTTTTCGTTAAATACTAGTTTTTTTCAGATTCTTTAGTTAGCACTAAATTTAAAACTGTTGTAAATTATTTATGTCTTACAAAACAAAATCTTTGGTAAAATGAGTTTAAAAAATGTTTATTTTTAAACAAACTAAAGCTTTTTATCATTTTACTTTTATATTCCCAATAGTTTATATTCCTTTACCATGTAAAGTTGCTAAAATTTTTTTTCAAAATTGTACGTAACTGTTAAATTTACATAAAACTGTTAAGTTTATTTAAGCACTAATGATACTATTCAAAATTACAAAATTAATCTTTTTTTTTCCAACAATGCAATAATATACTTTAATTAAAAATCATAAATTATGCATGCAATAAAGCGTTATCATCAAGAAAAAAAATTGTATTTTCAGTCATTAAAAATTAAAAATGTTCAAAACTTATTGTAATCAGGTATACATTGGTGTTGTGTTTTTCTGCTGTTAAGAGCTGAATGTACGCTTAGCCGCTTAGCAACAGCGGAAGATTGTTTCGATGCTGACTCACATGAAACTTAATAGCGACGTCGGTCGCTTCAGAGAGCAATATCCCACAAAGAGAGATGTCCGTCCAATTAAAGCAAAGTTTGTTCGACAAAGCTCCTGTAACATTGAAGAAAATTTATTAGAGAAATGCTAAGGTTTTTAAAAACCTTGTTGTTCAATCACATGTGACAATTACGAATATACTTACTTGAAAGGTCAAAGTTGTTGACACTTTACAGCTACTAGATTGCGGCTGACTTGTCAAAGAGATACGTCAGCAATCATTCGACATATCTTGACAAGAACCTGCCTCACCTTTCTCTTCAGCCATTGCAAATACTATATCAAGCAAAAGTTCTCGACTAAGATTTTTTATTTTTGGCAATGTAGCCACCTAAAATGATCAATCAGATTTTTTTACAATAATTTAAATTGTAAAGATAATTTTTAAAGTGTTGTCTACATACCTTTGGAATGTTGAGTACTATGAGTTTCAAAGCATATTTTTTAATATCTATAGCTTGCATTTTATCAGCAGCCTCTAAAATTTGTATTACGTTTTCAAAAGTAACATTCATTTCGAGATTTTGTTTGCAGAAGGCCTGCAAGCGATTATTTGTGAAACCATAAAATATTGGAACGGTGAAAAGATAAAGGGAGTCCTCGGGAGGCATAGAGACGTCTGCATAGTATATGTATCTTAAAAGTGAGCTGAATGACTCTGAGGATGGAATCATTTCTCCAATTTGTATCTAAAAGTTTACATCAGGATTAAAAAAAAAAGTAGAGAACTTCTAATTAAAAAAGGCTTGATTAGTCTTACATTAACAGTATTATTATCAGGCATAAATGACCTGAACAGCCCCTCAAAATAGCTACAACGAGCAGCCAAAATTGCTTTATGTGATTGTATCGGGTTACTGTCGAGCATCAACGTTATGTCGCAGAATTCTTTTCCAATACTATTTAAAAACATTTCCATATCTTGCTCAAGCGTCGTTCCTAAATTTTTGATAAAAATTATTTCATTTCGGAAAAATTCTAGATGGTTATGTCAAAACGTACCAACTTCCGTTCTCAGATCATACTGTTTCAAGGAATTTTTTTTCGGCTGATCCTGTTTTCGTCTTATTATTTCTACCATTAGACGTTGTTCTAACACCTCGAATTCCTTGCTCATAATTATCTGATTGTAATTACTATCTCTCACCACGAAATTCATGCACATCTCTTTTATAAAATACAATTCAAGATGGGCAGCATTGCGCAGTGCTTCCAAAACGTTGGTGTGATTTATTGTGGTGTCGAGGTAATGGACACACAGCTGCTCCAAGCGTTTCATATTAAACTGCCTTGCTAGGCGATATACATCCATCATCAGCAAAACGATTTGGTTACTGGGTGGGTCCTCGATTTTTTGAGTTGGATCTATGCGATCGGTATAAATATAGTTCAGAACCATATCAAATGCTTCGGGTACCGCATCTTTCAGTTTCACCTGTGAATTTTCCGAACTACGTACTGTGGCACTTTGCTAATATTCATTATGCTACTTTGATATTAAAAGCAAACCTCCAACAACGGCAAATCTTTGGATTTGATGACTTCGTTACCCCGCTCTTTCTTTAGCTTTCGGTCTCGCTTGTCCTTAGCATCACGAATGTGTTGTCGAAGAAATTTAGACCGTGCCGCAACCATAGCCACATGGGCAGGTATTTTAGTTTCCTCTTCGCCCACGATAAACTCCACGTCGCAAAACAGCCGCTGGTTTAATAATCGGCCAAAGTCGTCGTGCAGCGTGCATTTGGGATACGAAGAGAACTGGAAGCGATAAGTTTCACCACTGCGGACGTTATTATCCACCGTACCGCCAAAGATATACATTGCGTCGCTGATTACGGCTGCCGCATGAAATAGCCGGCCGGATGGAATCTATTAATATGGGCCAGTTAGAGTATTTTTTACGATTAAGATTAAAGTTAATTTTTAAAGCCATTACTGACCTCGCTATCAGAAGATGGAGTTATAATGTCCCAAGTTTGAGTATCAAGATCGTAGCAATGAAGGTCGTTTGGCAGAGTATTATCTGCAGTACCACCAAACACGTACAGGTGCCTGTCAAAACTTACCATTGTGTGACCATAGCGTCGAGCTGGTGGTGGTGGAGTACCCCGTAAAATATGCTCAGTTGAAATACGCGTCCATCTGAAAAATTTTTTTTAATTACTATCAATACATTTTAAACAACTCCAAGTACCCATTTAAAAATCCATAATCCAAAACAATGAAAAATCAATGTTTGTGTATTGAATTACCTTTTTTCCCGAAAATGAAATTGAAAAAGACTGTTGGTAATTTTTGCACCACTCTGACCACTGAATACAAACATGGATTCTCTAGCTACTACCACAGGAAAGTTGCAGCAGGTAGGTGGGCAGTCTCCAGATTGGATAACTTTTTCCCACACCTTGGGATCTTTAGGCTGTGAATTAATAATGCGCATTATAAATTTTAGTACATAACTACTATGCATAGTTTTTACTTATTTGGTAAAGTATCTCTTACACATAGTGATATAGTCCACATATCATTTAAACGAACATTTCCATCATAACCGGCAAAAATCCACAATTTATTATCGTAAATTGCCGCACCATGAGCTGATCTGGCAACTGGTGTTCTATTAAAAATCTCTAATTAGTTTGAATTAATGAAAAACTAAAAATAATTTCTGTTTGGATATATTTTTAATAACAATAGTTTTTGTTAGATTGAATTGTTTGTGACGAGGGTTTTATTTTCTATAACTGACAACAAATGGCTGCCAGACTTTTAAAGTCTTTAGTTATAAAACAATCGTGGCAACTCATTTTAAGAATGCTAAAACTCTTTTGTTATATACTGAAACTTCACTATGACCTTGAATCGGATCAGCATTTAATATTTCTATCATGTTAATTACACATATTTATGTTATTATTCATTTTGTTAGTATTGCTACAAAAATTATTGTTATGATTATAACTGCGCATCACGTATTCATTGATCAGAAATTAATCACCTGCCATTTTAACAGTACATCAGTTTCAATATTATGTATAAATAAGAACATAATTATAAGTATATATTAGTAATGTTGTGGTCAAATTTTGCATATTATTAAAATTTACTAAATTGTACACGATTTTTGTGATTTTTCTGTTATTTAATAGAAAAATTTACTGTTAGTATAAATAAAAAATAACTTTTGCAAAAATGAATTTATAAACTAATTAATTCAGAATTATTGCGAGGAACTTAACACACTGATTAATATTTTCTTACAGAAGAATTTGTACGGATCTCGAATGTCGTGGTATTTTAGCTAATTGTGTTACCGTATATAGTGGAAAACAATCATAAAATAAACAATGTAGTGTTAATCTGTTTACTATTATAATGCAAGAAATTATATTATAGTCTAAAATATCTGTAGTAGCGTATCTCTACAAAAATTTATATTAAGTAAGTCAGCTGATTGCGTTGAGAAGTGAATTGAAAAGCTTACATAATTTTTTGTTTTGTTTTACATTTTAATAAATTAAACTATGTATATATGTATGAATGCGTGTATGTTATGTTTTTTACGATCCTTAGAGTTAAAGGGAGATCAATATTTTGAAATGAATAAACAAGCATATTCGTAAATTAATCAATTTAAAGATATAACAAATATATAAATTAGAGTACTTACTTTCCATAGAACTTCCATTCAACCCACTGACCAGTTGTGAAACGATATTCAAACAAGTCATTTTTGTTGGTCAAGTTGGAATTGGAGTGAATATCACCAGTGTAGCCTCCAAAAACGAACATAGAACACCCATGTACCACAGCAGAGTGATGGTATCTAGGAGCTGGTGGTTGGCCAGTAGCAAATGCTCTACCCCAGGACTTTTCTTTTACATCAAAACGTAGCAGGTCATTTAGCATTCTCTTTCCATTGTCTCCTCCAAACACATAAATTGCATCTTTGTAAGCTACAACCGTATGTTTGCTACGTCTAGAAAAAACAACGTTAAATATTAGTTACAGTGGACTCCAAATTAAGCCATTAAGAAAAATTAGCAAAAAAAACAAAAATTACCTGGCCCCAACGAATTCGTCGCATTCTGGCATTCGCTGCCAGCGGTGGACAGTTTCGAAAGGCCCAAAGTCCAGAACCAAACACTCAGGAGGATAGTTGTTGTCCATGGTTAATGATTCAAGCCTATTCAGAGCCAAAAGCAAAAACCAAAAATCGATGCACCAATTCACCAGCTATCGAGAATCAAGATTTTCCTCTTCAGAGTAAACAGACATTGTTTGTAATTTCTCGAAACAAAATTATAATAACACTACGTAGTTTCGGCATTTCAACTTATCGCTTATGAGTTTAGTTTACTCAGCTGTTACACACTCCTGCTTCTTTTTCTGAATGTATGCAGTTATTGATTCAAGCATGCGGTATTCATTCATTACTAGTTCGTGAAGGTATGTATATATAAAAGAACAGTGGCAACGAGTATTGGCGATGACGCCCGAAGAACAACGAACGACGGGTGGGACACTGTTACTCATACACATAAAGAGACATATAAAAGGGGAATTTCCTTTGGGAACGGTTTTCATCTTACTTAGTGGTATATTACATTCTCCTTAGTGTGGCAGAAAAAATACCTTCTTAAATTCATCCAATATTTTCTCTTGCTTACTTGATGCTCATCGATGAATTTTAACAGTATAGTATGGAGATAGTCTTTCATGTAGACATAATGAAGGAATGTTTTAGTATTGATTAAAAATTTATTGGCTTCCATAAAGGTATACATAGTACGTGAGTGTAATACGTAGGCTATATATCTTCGACAATACGTTAGGGATAGCGGCGTAGCGAAACATACTTAATACCTAACAGTAAATTATATAAATTATTACAAGTATCATCACATGCACGTTTCGTAATTCTATAGAAATGCATGAATCCTTGCAAAACACAGACTTCTGATAAATATCTAAAATAAATCTTGTAGATGTATTAAAAGCTCTAAGAAGTCTATAAGATTTCTTTTACCTTAACAGAAGTTTATGTTTACTGAGATGCAGATACTCTAGTAACTGCTGCCATCTTTCGACATGTCTTTTTACCATCTTGAAGCGGAAGTATTTCAAATTCCTGGAAAAATTATTGTGTTGGAAAGTAAAAACCTATTTAATTTTATAATGGTTATTATTTATGTTATTAAAAAGTCGGTTCGTTATGATAAGACATGGAAATTTTTGTCATCTTTTTTGATCCACAATTTTAAAATATCATGCATAAGTTTTTTTAATTATTTATAACATTTTAGGTGAATTAACGATATAACAAAAAAAAAAATCGCTAAAAAAATAATAAATTATGCCCGAGAATAGCGCTGGAAGGGTAAAAAAAAAAGGTTTGGAAAGTAAACAGGAATGCCTTGGACAAGAAGATTGACTTTCCATTAGGATGCTTGCACGAGAAATTAGATGTAGATATATTCGACTTAGAAATATACATAAAAGAAATAAATATAATAAAAGAAACGATTGTGTGAGGTAGGGTATTCAATTCATCGCTGTTGCTATACTATATACTATGCGTTTCGTATGTAATAAATTTTTTAAAGATTTATGAAGTCATTAACTATAATTAAGAGTTTGATAAAAATAAAAAGACTTTATCAATAATAATATTAACAATAGTAATGATAATAATAGTAGTGGTGGTGATAAAAATGATAGCAATAACAATAAAAGTGTTTTCAGTCTGCCTGATATCAACCGTTACAATGGAAGTATTTAAAAATTTATGAAAATAATGGCGCGAAATAAGTATATTCCATTCATCACATCAAACGATAAGTGATGTTAGATATTATTGTGCTGTATTATACTATATTGCATTACATTTCAAGTATACCCACATCATAGGGTTTTCACGTATCCTATCTGTTCCGTTCCTCTACAAACTTATGCTAGTCTTTCGTGCAGGCCTCTAATGCAAAGTTCCTCTCAGACGACTCGGTCATTCATCCTACTGGTTAATATTTGTAAGGCACTGTTATCGTCTTAAGCACATCACAGTTGTTACTAGGTTTAATAAAATATTCTCTTTATATCTTCTTTTTTCTGATAGTGATTTTACCGATGAGTTGACCAGGTGTGGGACTTTCCTCGGAGAATAAGCCTCTCCTGGAGGTCCTGTCATGGTTTTTTTAAAAATTAGGTAAGTGGTTTTCTGGCATCTCAGATATGTATCTTCTATGAATAAAATTCGAGAAAAAAAATCTTGATACTTACCTTTCGATAGGATTCGAAATCCGTCTACACTTCGAATTTTTTCATCAAGGAGGCCAGCACATCAGAGCTCTCTTGCAGTATACGAGTAATATTTACGCTGAACAGCATTAAGAAATGTATTCATACATTATCTTGTTTTTAAGTATGAGTGGGGCAACAAATTCTATTGAAAGGGTTGTTTGGAGCAGGAGTAAACAAAGTTTTGTTTCGGTATATACTTACTTGAATTTTTCATATACTAAAAACAACTTTTTAATAAAAAGTTACAACCAGGAGTTGTTTGATTTCCAAAAAAGAAACATTACTGTTGCTTACTATGATGTAAGTTTATATACATTCTATATGTTCGTACGAGTCTTATTCGTGCAGGCACTATAATATAACAAACGAGACAAGGTTGTGATCGATCCTAATGTATAGTGAGGGTTGATCGATGACGCTGAACAAGTTGGAAGTGGTTCAAATTTATATCTCGTATATTTTTCGAGATATTGATGTTACGATCACTATACACGTAAAGTATAAGTATATGTAGTTAATCTATTCTTTAAAATAAATTTTACACCGTTGCAATGGTCACTATATGTATAGTACAGATCTATATCTTGGGGATGTAACCTTGGGGGAAAACCTATATTGTAAAAAGGTAATTATGATTTTCTAAAGGTACCATTGATTTGGAACCACTTCCTACATGCTCAGCGTCATCAATTTACCCTTACTACGCATTAAGATGGATTACTACCTTATCCAGTTTGACGTATTATATTACCTACATGAATGATTTCCTTTTTATATTGGAATTAATTATCAATAAGTGTCCAATATAATTACATTTTTTAAGGATATAAACTTTTTTAACTTTATTAACAACGACACCGAGGTTACTGGAATCATTGGAAGCATTTGGAACTGTCTAGCTGAATATTTGAATTTTACGTACGTAGCTTTTGGGAAACGTAAATTTTGTTATTGTTTTATGTTTAAAGTTAAAAATTTTTACATGCGCATACACTTGTACACCTGTAACATATGGCTTCATTCTCCCATCAAATCTGTTTTTTAGTATTAGAAATAGGTTGATAAATATAACACCACCTGTCACTTTATATTTTATGACGTCCTATGTAACAGTCGTGCCTGAAGAATGTCACAATTATTTTGTTTCATTTAAATAAAAAAAAATTTTCACACGACATTTTTATTTTATAACAAAACTTGCTACTTAGATACAAATATTCATTTCTCTTCTATATTTATCAATCTTCTTTTCAAGATTAATTCCTGTAAAAGTGGATAATCATGAAAGTTCGGATAGAAGTAATTATGACGATATAATAAAACTACTTCAAGAAAATAAAACGCTCGTGATTGCTAGGATTGGAATTCTTGATAAATATTTATCGTTATTAGACTTCATGTTACCACTTTGGGAAACCAGGTTCATAAGAAAGGATGCTTATGATCACAATAAAATGCTGAAATATACTTAATAAAAATATCATGTCATTTCAGTTATCATTTTTATGTAAAACCAAATTGGGAACACGATAAATATTGGATTATAGATACTTTTTCTGAAGAAATATGGTTTCTAATACTCTTCTTATTGATTTTGCTAACTATGACAGCCTATGCATGTGAAAAATTTTCGACCAACACCTCTAACAAAATTATTAATTATGAACTGCAAGATCATATTTTGTTTACAGTAGCAGTCGCTTCTTCTCGAGGTAAAGATTACAAATAATAAATAATACGAGAGTAGTAGAATTTTTTACAGTATAAAATAGTAATTCTTATTCTTTGTCTATAATATAGGTCTAATACCTACAGGATTCAATAGAAAATCCAAAGCTATTTTTTTTTTGACGAGTTTGTTTTCGTATCTCATCTTAATAGCTTTTAGTTCTAATGCTATTTATTTAATGATGTACAGAAAACATCTCTCACCTTTTTCGAATCTTGAAGAATTAATGGTTAATACTCAGTATAAAATGATTATTTTTTCTGGTTCTATGGTATGTCAAGATATTGAGGTATGCATTATTTTTAACTATTAAGTGCAAAATAGTATATCTAACCAGTCAATAATACTAGTACATTACGTACCTAAGGTGAAAAAGTAACTATGTCTCGAAATACGATCTAAGAGTTCTTTACTTTCACCCGTGGTATTTAAAACGATTGTATTTAATGCTCTGCCGGTCTAAATACAGTATTAAAATTTTATAAGTAAAAAATATTGACTACTTCAGCTATTTTTTTTATTTTAGAATGTTTTTATTGAAAAAAAATACAATAAACTTCAACTTCATTATGCGGACTCATATACTTCACTTTTTAAAGATGTTTGTACATCAAGAAAATATAAATTAAGCGCATTCGTAGCTGATGATCGTTACGGAGCTATTGGTACAAAATTTTGTACGCTTATTCCAACAAACTCAAAGTATTTTGAAACATCCATAACATCAGCAGTTTTAAGAAGTAGTTTATACAAACGTAGTTTTGATATAGGGTAAATATATTTTCATAAGTATTACGAAAAAATCAATTAAAAATAGTATTGTAATTAACTCCTCCAGACTAAATGAAAACAATAAACTTTTCATACATCGTTTGAAATAAAATTATAAGCTTGTAATAGATTTTTGATCACTACTCTTATTTTAAGTCATAAAAGTCATAAAAATAACACATTATATTAAATATCAATGTATTTATTTTTACAGAATTTTGAAAATGAAAGAAGCTGGATTACTAAACCTTTTAAAAGACAGATGGTTAGATTTGCAAACGGAAGACAATGAAAAAAATCTGTTTCTGTCGATTGATGTAGATCAAGTTCATATTATATTTTTAATCCTAATTTCTGGATTCATTGTAGCTTTCGTTGTACTACTAATTGAGAGACTTACGTATAACATTTACAGAGTGAGAATAACGGAATAAATTAGTAAATGAGATTTTTATTAAGAATAATGCTTTAAAACATAACGTAGATTATTTAACACTTTAATTGAGAGCTCAAATGGAAATTATGGGATATATTACTGAAAATCAGCATAACTAAAGTTAAAAACCTTAGATTGTTTTAACGAAGCTGGCTGTAGTCACAAAATTTCTAGTTAGGTTCTCAATAAATGTCGTATTTACATCAAATATTTTTCCATGTTCAATATTCTTTTTTATGTGAACTTTATAGATTTTCATTAATTTTTTATTCAGAAATTAGTTTTGACATCATTAGATAAATATTGTCAAAATTTGATGTATCATAAGAAGAAGAAAAAAGTTTAGAAAATATATCATCAGCATGTTGTCTAAATTAGTTTGAAAAAATTGTAAAACATCATTTTACGATTAATACGTAAAAGCTGCTTAAAACATCGTATTCTAAAGATGCGCATACTACGTAGTATTGTAATTTAGGTTAATATTGTTGTATAGATTAGTACCTCCTAATAACCACCAAATTTTTTATTATTTTTCTAAAAAATTAAAAAATAGCGATGAAATGCAGTGCATATTATAATATATTAAATCTGACAATCAATCATGAAAGGAACAATTTGAGCTATAAAATAAGGCAAGATATAATGTTTATAATTGAATACCTATAGTAGAAGTATAGCAACAAATAGAAAAAAAAAAAAAACAAAATCAATAGAGACTACGCTTTGATCGTTTACAAAGTAATGTTGTGCTACCGTTATCTGCAAAATTTATCCTTCGCAAATCAGTAGTACAAACATCATGCGAAAAAGCTATTAAGCTGGTTATTTGAGAAACTTAAGAGAAATAGAAATCATTCAAGTAAAAGTACTATATCAAGGAAGACATGAATGATTGAGTATCAAACGGTTCGTCTGATAATATTATAGTGTACACAGTTACTGAAGAATTAGGATAATTATTATTAATGCAATATACTAATAGAATACTGCATTACCAGCTATTGATGTTAGTTGCTATATAAGTATGTATCATAGTTTTTCATAATTATTTTACTGCTAAATATAATAGCTTCTTTTACTAAGCGTAGGTATGAATTTATTTTGAATTTTTTCAGAAACATTTTGTACAAACAAAATTGAATCAGGAAGTTATGGAACAAAACCTAATCTTTATTTTTCTTTATTTTAATCAGTGTTGGGCTATCAGTGGAATCATATGGGATAAGAGGATTGACAATTTTGTTTCAATTTTTAGTATTCGAGAGTATATGGTTTTTCAAAACAAAATACGAAATGAAATTGAATTACATAATTTTCAAGGACAAGAAATAAGGTTCTTGTATTACAACGTAATGGATTTTATTATCACTAGCTATAATGATGAGTTGAGTTAATTATTAGTAAAAACTTTAAACTTACAGGCTAGAAACATTTTTCAATTTTATGACAACGACAAAAAAGTCACAGGAATTTGTGGTGATATTTGGACTACAGTTTCAAGATACTTAAATTTCACGTAAGCTTAGCGTGGTTAAATTGGTTGTACAAGTTATAATTTTATTTATAAAAATTGTAGGATAGTATTCACAAAAACTGATATCCGAACATTAGGTGTCCAAACTTATCCACATAACAACACTTACAGTGGATTGTTGGGGATAATACAAAATAATGAAAACATGATAATACCATTAATGGAAGCATTTATTCCTCGACTGGAAGTTGTTCAATTTACGGTACCTCTTTGGAAAACACGGTAAATTATCCCAATAAAAATATCATTTTTTCATATGCTATCACAATTATACATGAAGTTTATATATTTCAGCCATAGAATGTTTATAAAAACTTATTCAAAGTACAAAATTACATGGATGTTAGATCTCTTTTCATGGCATATATGGTGTTTGATTCTAATTTTTTACATTGTTTTAAGTTTTATAAGCATATTGTCTCATCGTATGATTAATACCGAATACAAACAATTAATATCATCTGTTTCTGACCATTTATTTTATAATTTTGGTGCACTTTGTAATCAAGGTAAAACAAAAACAGCAATGAAAATATATATTTTATAACTTAAAGAATAACTTTTCAAATAATGTTTGTGTAACAGGTGATGCATTATACCTATCCCAGAAAAAATTAAAAATCCAATCATTTTGTATAAGCATGTTTTCATGGCTCATAATAACATGTTTTACATCACAACTCATAGTCTATGTGACTGAAACTGTTTTGGAGCCACCTTTCGAAAATCTTGAAACTCTTTTTAAACACACAGATTATACAATTTTATCTGAGAAACACTCAATTGTTTACATAAGTTTTGAGGTAAATGATATAACTATGCAACAGTATGAATAATGATAATATGATTTAAAATAATATTAGTAATAATGACTGTAAAAAATTTTATGAAATATTTTATAAAACAGCAAAACTATAGACCAATTTACAGCCGTATTAAAAAAATGAATCGGATCAAATTTTACACAAGTCATAGATATATGTGGGATTTGGCTTGTTCAAATAAAAATAATTACGCTATACTCCAACACGAAAGTATTAAAATGGATGATAACTTAATTTGTGAGCTTAAGCCTGTAGGAGTAGCTTACATAAAAACGTGGATGGTTGCAGGTTTGCCCAAGAAATTTATGTTTAAAAAAAGTATTGATATCAGGTAAAGAAATTTACATTTGATACTCGTAATAAAACATTTTTTTTTTAAATGTATTAACTAAAAACAAAATTAGTGATTAGAAACAAATTAGCCTACAGTAGTTATGTTCTATTGAAATAATACATCAATGGTAATCCTTTCAGTATTATGAAATTGCACGAATTTGGAGTTATCAACGTTCTAAAATCTCGTTGGCTAAAATCTGTCGATACAGACATAAATGTAGATAGATATTATTCACCAATTGAGCTAGATCAAGTTTTTCTATGTACGAGCATGTATATTTGTAGTGTGTTTGTATCAATCACTATTGTTTTAGTTGAAAAATTAATTCATTCGTGTGATATTAAAATTTAAATAATCATATTTTAATTGTAACTTAAATTAGCTAATAAGCGATTATAACATAAAATAATATATTTCTTAACGATAATGATTTTTTTCCCATTTTTTTATGCCTTACTTTAATACCTACACCTTCAATATCTGATGATTTATTGTAATCTAAAATGTATATTTATTTCTAACCATTTGATATTTAAAAATAAGTTTTTAACTTTAAGTGGTATCAAAAAATGTTGCATAATTTTAAATGTAATAATAAATATATAACAAAATCAATTCGATAACTAACAAAATTTCTTACACAGCTTAGCATAAAAAATATTTTAAATAAACAGATTTCATAGAAAGATGTATGTAATGAATTTAATTTACAAGTTTTACAAGTATATTTCTAATTGACAATAAAACCACTATGTATCTTACTTTACACCCAGTTTGACGAATCCTGCTTATACTTTGTATTATTTACTTTAAATCTATCATTAAATAATTTGGTAGCGTATTAAGATATTTACCTAACAAAGAAAAACTAAAACAAAACCATCTAAGACTTTTATGTCCAAGGTAGTAAAAGTGAAAAAAATCATGCAAATGGTAAGAGTTCATCGTTCCTAATAGTGTATTGTACATTGGCTAGACACGGGTGATTTTAATATTTGAATTTCATCAGAGCCTGTCTGTCAAGGTTCGCAGATATAGCACCAAAAATTTTTCATAGTGATGGTAAAAAGAGGGGGCATACGTGACTACGGTTGGTTTGTTTACACCAGAATACATATATAAGTGTGGCTCTAAAAATTTCGTCACAGTGACTTCCTCGTACCGTCGAGTATCGATTGCTGAGCAGATTAAACTCAGCAGTATACGTGTGCAGGTGTCATAGATCACATCTTAAGTTCCTAAGTACGAGTAAAATGTTATCGTTGGTGTTTTTTTAATTGGAGTTTTAAAAAAGTTTATTTAAAGTTTCAAATGTTTTGATAACAAAGGCAACTTTGACAAATAATAGTCGTCTTTCATGAAAGACGAAGTAATAAATTACTAAAAAATGTGAGTTTTGGAATCCAAACATATATTACATGATTTTTTAAATTAGTGAGTAACTGTTCCCTGTCAATTTTTTTTTTTTTTAATTACCTCAAGTTGAAATTTTTTTCTATGATAAAAAGTTCGTAAACGTGTGTTAATTTGTTGAAAGTTTTAGTTCTAAAAGTATAATGTTGAGTTATAGATACATTAAAAAAGAAGAAAATGGCTATTGATAAAGAACTCCACTCTACATCAGTGAAATGCGCCAAAGAGGGCCAGATCATTTCAGATTTAAAAGAGCATGTGGATGAAGTAAAAACAGAAAAAACTACAGACATACTAAAAGAAGAAAGCAAAAAATGGATTTTTCTTCGAAAGGATGTAAAATGGGTGAATGTGATTATGATCGTTCTCGTCCACGTACAAGCAGTTTGCACGTTGTTCACTTTCCCATACATTCAGCATGGCAAAACTACCTTGTGGAGTGAGTTTATTTTATTTTTTGTTTCACTCAAAAACTTTTTTTTTCCAAAATCGTAAAAATGATTAATAACATAATCATTTTTTATTTTCTTAGCCCTTTGTATCGGTTTGATGGCGGGTTTTGGTATCACGGGCGGAATTCATCGTTATTGGAGTCATAGATCCTACAAAGCTAATACGCCGTTAAAAATCATCCTAACAATTTGTTACTTAATGGCTGGTCAAGTAAGCGCGCGAAAATTAGTGTCCGCTCTAATACTTGGATCTCTTTTTTTAAATACGTGAAATTATTGTTTCCCCTTAGAACTCAATGTATCAATGGGTGAGGGATCACCGAGTTCACCACAAATATTCAGGTTGATATTTGACACATCCATTTTGATTTATTTTTTAATTTATTTGAGCTCAAGTAATGAAATTGTAATAATTCTAATCAGAAACTGATGCTGACCCTCACAACAGCAACCGCGGATTTTTCTTCTCGCACGTTGGTTGGCTTATGCTTAAAAAACATCCCGAAGTTCTTAGAAAGGGCAAGCAGATTGACATGAGTGATATTGAAAATGATCCCGTTGCCTCGTTTGCTGAGAGGTAATCGAAATAAAAGTTTGTTTATTCATCGAGTATGGATCGACCGATATAAAAGACCAACTTTTTTTTTTTTTTATAGATATTTTATGCCCTTGAAACTTATGGCCTCCTTCATTATACCTATGGTCGTGCCGGTCTACTGTTGGAATGAAGATTGGTACTATGCTATTGTATCTCAGATAACCAGATATGTATACGTGCTCAATGCCACGTGGAGCGTTAATAGCTTTGCCCATTTCTTTGGTAATAAACCGTACAACAAGTAAGTTTCCAACGCAACTGTTGACCAATCAATTTCAAATCAATTTTTTCGAATACCTAAAATCTACATCGCATAAAACTTGTGATTCGTATTTTAACGTTGGATAAATCCTTAACTTGATTTAAACAATCATCTTATATGAATTGCAGAGTCATCGCACCAGCCGAAAATACATTTGTGTCTTACATCGCGTTCGGCGAAGGTTGGCATAATTACCACCACACTTTTCCCTCGGATTATAGAGCAGCCGAGCTTGGAGGAGGACGAGTCAACAAGACTACGAAGATAATCGATCTGTTCGCAAAAATTGGGTGGGCCTACGATCTCAATGTTCCCTCGGATTCTCTCGTCAAAGCAATCATTGCTAATCGAGGAGATGGAACTCACGAGAGCTTGAGAAACGAGACCTCGAAAGACAAGTAAACCTGCCAAAGACTTTGACGTGCGTGAAAAATAATTTTTACAACATCCAAGTGCCAATGTTTTTTTTTTTTTTTTTTTTTTTGTTTTTTACTATAATTTAGTTATTTAATTGCGAAGACTCGATCGACGGTTCTCTCATTTATCACGTGGTTACTACATCTCAATACGGTTATATTTTTTTTTTAAAACATCATATTCATTTTTGCATCAATTGGATACATCGTGGTGTGCTTTATTTATTCCAAGTATGCATCAAATTTCATTGTGATGATGACCACGAGAGACATTTCAAATAATCTTTTCGACAAATCGACATAAAAATTGTGTACATACATGTCTAATTGTTATAGTCAATATTAATAAATGTTATTGAAAACTCATAAATAGATGTATATCTTTTTTTCCACGTGCATCTCACATTCAAATATATTCATTTATAAATATACATTCAGCCCGTTTGTATAAATATTCATGTTGGTGTTGGTCTATTGGTGAGAATGTCACTAATGACGCAAATTTGTTATATAAGCCGACAATTCGGCTTGTCGAGCTGTTGAACGATGGACGGAGCGATTGTGAAACAAATGCAAATTTATGTTCCCGAACGTAAAAAGTTTTTTTTTTCTTTTTCCTTCTTTTTACCAGTAATAACAGGCTTTTACAAACAAGCGTTGCTTTTAGCCACCAAAAGATGACGGTGATAAATAAATCCACACGGAGTCGACGCTTTCCGTGAAAATAATAATTTAACTTAACGCGACATTGTTACTATTCACACAGCTGGCTCGTCAAGGTCACCCTCTCCTCGTTCGAGCCCACCGCAAAAGTCTCGCTGCAGGATTGCCACCTGAAAAAAAAAAAAAAACCAACTTTGGTACTGCATTTAAAAAAAATCGACACCACGACTTTTGCACTCTCGAGAATAACCTGTTGCCTCTCCGGTCCTCCAGGGCGATCTTGTCCAACAGCAGAGTCTCGAAGAGCTGCGGCTCGGGCGCGTCCTCGGGAACAACGGCCTCGAACCTAATGCCGACTCGAATGTCGGTGGCGTTAGCTCGAAAGGCATCAAAGTCGGCAGCCTTGATGTCGTAAAACGTCGGCTGGTTGCTGTTTCGATTATTCAAGCTCGACAGCGGAGGCAGGGCCGACTGGCTAAAATGACGCAACGAGACTTTTTTGTTTTGTTTTTCGTTTCTTCTCTCGAACGCCCAATGTATCGACAACGAGGGACTCACTCGCAAACGACGTTAAAGTCGACCGTCCAGCCATCGCCGGCCGCCCTGATCCGCGCCAGTCCCCTCGGTTTGATCTCGCTATCTCCAAGCTTGACGGACACTCGAAGGGGGTAGCCGCAAAAGGGCGGCTCGGCCCTTGTGGCCAGGTAGTACTGCCCAGCCGGTCCCCCGCGATCGGCCGCGTAGCCCATCTCCGGAGCGGCTATCGTGTCCTCCGGTGGGAAGCACGAGCCAGCAGCGAAGCTTCCGTAGCGGCGCTTGCACGGCCAGCTCTGAAACCTGCAAGCACCCAACTGGCTCTGCAAGCTCTCGACGAACAGGAACCAGGAGCGCGCGTGGCTGCAGGCTATGTGGATGTCCAGGCTGTCCTCTGCGAGAGACAGAGACAACGTCGCTTATCAACTTTGTCTTTCTTTATCGTTTCGAGCTTGGCTGGGGGAATAAAAAAATCGGAGCGAAATCCAAACCGTTGAAGTGCGTGACGACGACCGAGTTTTTGACGTCGTTGCAGCCAGGCTGCTGCCTCCCGCCGTTCGGGAAGAAGTCGACGTGTCCGATGGGCTTGAGGAGGCCGAAGCCGTCGGTAAAGTCGGCCGAGCCGTCGCTGTGAATGACGTCGACGAGCCTGGCGTCCGACTGGTCGAGCTTGCGGGCCTTTTCACGGAACAGGTGGTGCCGGAAGAACGGGGAGGCCGGGTCGAGGCCGGTTATGCGGCCGAGCAGGAGGTTGTGCTTCTTGAGGATCTCGGAGGCACAGCCGGCCACGTGGGCGCCCAAACTGAAGCCGACGAGGTGCACGTCGCTCGGGTCGACGCCCATTCGCACCGCGTCCAGCAGAACGAGGCCCAGTTGACGGCCCACTAGCTCCGTGTTGGACACTGCTGTGCCGTAGCTCGTGCCCGCGCCCTTTGCCCAGTCGACCACCACGACGTTGGCGTCCTCCTGCGGGCATTGCACGGTGATAACCCAATCTTGGGAGTCATTTTTTTTTTAATGGGTCATTTGCTTAGAGTCTAGGGGGGAAGCTAAAATTCAACTCGTTTCGATTTACCGAGAGAGACTTGCAAATTTTTGGAAAATATGGGACCTTCCGCTGAGAGAAATAACTCATAAAAATTTTGGTACTTAAATGGCAATCTGATGCTGTTCCATCGTCTAAAGACTCTTTACTGTTTGTACAATAGAAATTGCGGTCCAAAAGAGCAAAAATCAGGTTACCAAAAGTAATACCAGATTACCATTCTAGGACGGTAATTTTCATTATTTTTTTCTCCGAGTGCGGCGTCAAACGACTTTGTGGTCGAAAAGTCCTCGTCACCGACACTTGAAATTTCTCGATACACAGCAAATGGTGCTTTTTTTTTGTCTCACCAAGTCGAGGAAGGCTTGGATGCCGACGACCGCCTCCTCGTTGATGCCGTTGCCCTTGTAGCCGTGTATGATGACTTTGAGCTTCCTCGTGGCGTTGAAGCGCGACCGGGTCATCGAGCGCAGCTCGTCCCCGTACTCGAGCACCTCGGGCTCTTTCCTCCGTTCCCGCGTGTACAGGAAGAACCGAGTGTTTATGACGCTCGGGTGCTGAGGCGGCCGCTTTATGGCCAGTGGCTGCTGACGCTCGGGAAAGCAGCCCAGCAGATCTATTAGGGACAGAGAACGATTTTACCACTGTACAAATAACGCGTCCTTTTTTTTCGGCTAGTCATCGCTAGGAGGGGAAAGCCAAAAAATGGACTTTAAGCAAGTTACAGCGTAGGCTTGTGTAAAAAAAAAGATTGTTATTAGAAACTGAGCTGTGGGTTAGAAGCAGGGCGATAGAAAGTGAGATATCCCGATGTTTGTTTTTTTCATCGAAGAACTGCCGAGTTCTCTTGACCTCGTCACCGAGTGCGGGTCCTAATTCTGTTCTACAAACACGCCACCGAGTATTTTGACACGGTTTTCGATAGTTACACACATTCTTAACGATTGTCGGGGTAACAGTGGGTCATTGGGTGATTATTATTCATGACTGGCTGCAGAGAGAAGTCATTTTTTGAAAAAACACTACACGACTATACTATTTGGCGTACAACTGTATACCTGTACTCATCAGCGTGGTGGCTTACCGAAGCAAACTTTTTGGCCAACATCGTCACGATTGCCCAACCGCCGGTGCATCATTAGCATACGATTTCTCCTCTCGGGTAACCTCCCTGAAAAATACAAGACGGCTTTTTTTAAACCCAATTTTTCAACATCTCGACAACCGATAAATATTTAAATTTATTTCCGGGTTGTCGTGTATTATTCCCTTGTCTCGAACTAAGTAGAAGGGGAAACAAAAAAAAAATGGAAAAATCTGTGATAACGCGATTAAAGGCTCCTTCGTCCTCGTCGAAATTCCGGCAACTTTTTACGCGGATATCCTTCACTCGTGCACGTGGCTGAGCCGATTTGACATAACTTGCACGTCATCGCACAATACATATATATATATACAATTTGTTGAGCGAGAGAAAAAAAAACAACACCATCAAACAAAAAACCACTATAAAACAAACTCGAAAGCAGCCCACGGCCACGAGGATATCTCGCGCGCTGGTAATAGAGAGGCACGCGCGCGGCGGGTTGTTGCGAAATTTACCGCCATTGAGCCGAATACTGCCGACGGAGAACAAAATCGAGAGCAGAATCAGCGATCGTCGCATTGTTGCTCTTGACCCTGAACCTCGGCTTTTCGGATTTCGTTCCGTAGCTGCTTTGGGCTCGTGCACCGCGCTCGGCCGTACACTTTGTCTCTTTCTCCGCGAAACTTTGCCCAAACACCCGCTTGGAAAATACTCACTGACTGAGAGTGCCGGTGCACCTGGCTGCACGCGCTTATTTTCCCTTCACCGGGCGACTCTGACCGCCTATGCATGCATCTCTCTCTCTCTTTCACTCTCTTTTTTTCTTTTCCTTCCTCGTTGTTGCGGCGAAAAATTTTTGCGGTCTCTTCTGGAAATGTCCCGCGTGTATGTGCTTTCCACTCGACTGAAAAAACCTTAAAGAACAATGGGTGCACTCGCGAAATCGAGGTCATACCCGCCGATGCGTCGGCGAGGACACCGGCGTACTCCGTACTCTTGGGTGTATCATTACGGGAGAAAATTGAAGAGTAAAAATCAACGCTAGTGGTTGGCAACTGTAATTTTTTTTTTCCCATTCCTTTGGCATTTTCATTGATTTCGAGACTGTTTGCTTTTTACTCATCAATCGGTAAGGCTCGCCATTAAAATAAGTGTAAAAATCGTTGAGAGCATTTAAAGATTTCGAATCACATGTATGATTCGAAGAGATTTTCACGAAATGTTACGCGAGCACCTCGCGAGGCAGCGACGAAAAAATCGGCCGTTGGTACAATAATGATTGATAAGCTGGGTGAAAGCCAGACGGCCGGTCAACTTTGTTGCAAAATGCTGCACCTATATCTAGCCAAACCGCACAGTTGGTGCTCCCTTTTTTTCCCCGTTTGTGGGGAAATCACCGATTGATAAGCGTAAAAATCGGTGACGCAAGCGCCGAGCTCTTCTGGCGGCAAACAAACTTTCCGATGATAGAAAACAAGTGGCTTTTTGTTTCCCCGTTCCTTTACGTAACGAAAAATAAACCGGGGGATTCGTTCTAGCCGTGCCGAAAAGAAAAGTTACGGGCCCGAATACATGAATATTAAACAACGTCCTCCGCGCTGCATACGTGCATCCCGTCAGCCGTCACCCGATAGACAAAGGATGAGCAAAAAAATAACAAGTGAAAGCACAGCGAATCCTCCCGCGTGTGAATAATAGAGCTCGCGTGAGTTGTGTTTTTCCATACCAATGACAACTTCCGAGCAGTGGTATACAGATTCCCGCGTTACCGACACCCGTTCCCATAATATCGCTGTACACGCGTTCTATCCACATACCTACACATAAATGTATGCACGGTGCAGGCACTTTCGCCTGACCGCAATCTCTCGCGCGCGACTGCAACAGAAATGCAAGCAAGTACCCCCGAGCCGTCGTGTTGTGCAACACCGAGCCCAAGTGTAATATATACATATACATGTGGCGCGTTGAATTTGACGGGGCACGCGTGTGTAAGTACAATATATAATGTCTTTCGGTTGGCGCGATCTGCAGGTGCTTTCACCGGTCATTAAACCGCAGCCGCGGAGCATCGGCGCACCAATATGCTTTCGGCCAAGAGCTGAAATTAACGATTTCGAAAAAGACGACTCGTCGAAGCAGTTTACATTGTACCCATACAAGTAATAGATGCAAAGCTTGTCGTATGTACGGGATTATTGGATTTTTTCGGCTATTAAGATTCAAGGCTCTGGATTGAAAATCCAATAAATCAGAGGAGGTTACATTACAATTTGTAATATGAAAATTCAATGCGGGAGATGTGGGTTTTCGAGCTTCGAAGCGGGTTTAGTTTAAAATGAAAATTTAAGTGAAGGTTCGTTGCGTCCGTGGTCCATCGTAAAGCTATACATGAATTGCTAAGAGCAATAACGAGAAATTTGCATTTCAGCGTGTACGTGTATGAGGATGACTGGAAAGACATAAATTCCGGGACGACTCGGCATGACGTGATGGCTCGGAAAAAGAAAAGTTTCAAATTAGCGATTACGTCTTAAGCTGGTCTTCTTTTCCTGCCATTTTTTTCTCTTCGATCGTAATTTTACAATCCCGATTTTAACCGGCAATCTTTCCTCGCATTTTTTGTGGCTCCTATCGTAATTTACGATCCCGCTGACTTTTACGGACAACCTCTAAAAACGTACTTGGATGCGTGTCATCCCAACTGAAACTCACAAGTTTCAGAATCAAAGAGTTTTTGTTTACTTCGCCTATTTTTACTCTACATAACATTTTATAATGAGTTTTCCGTATGAAATTATAGGTACCCACAGCTGTTCCATAAATGAGATTCGTGTACGCAGGATGTTTTAGCAACATGAGTTGACTGTTTGATTTCAGAAAGAAGCAATATCTAATGCTTTGTGTTTGTATTTTTAAACTTGCTATATCGAGTCTTAGTGTTTTTAATAATTCGTTCGTAACAGCTTTTTAAAATTTCCTAATATAAATCAAAGCATATTTTTATGTGACCACTGAAAGAAGGGTAGCACGTGCTGGTTCAGGCAGCTTGCGAAACTTTGTAAAAAGTAAAAAAATAGAGTAATGTGAAAATACGACATAAAAAGAGATAAACATGTGCATGTGTGTATCTTTCACCTGTCAATTCACTGGTCAAGTAATACATTCAAACGATAAGAAATAAAGATGTCATAACACCGAGTGGGGTGTCTCCAGTGAATTAGACAATGTTACGATTTACGAGCTAGTTTTATCACGTGGCCCACCACGAAGACGAAAAGTTTTTGCATTGCATCGTTAGGTATTTACGTAAGCCACTGATTTCTCGAATCCTTGGTGACGAGCTGAGATCCTTGAGATGCTGATGTTTGAAATATTGTACCTGAAAAAAAAAAAAACGTTTACAGTTCTTCCCGAGAATCAGAAGGAATTCCCCCGAGAATAAATGTATGCATCGTACACTTTTTTTTTGTAAGAAAGGCGCGTTGTCTTAATTTCAAAAAGAATTTTTATAGATCCATACGCTGTACCGTACGACCAATTTTACGAACGAAAGGTGATAATAGGCATTGCGAATGAAGCAATAACTTGATGGTAGATAAGCCACCATTTTGATTTGGAGTAATAAAAGCTTTTGAGGTCAAGAAACTTGCAATCACGCAAATGCTGGGATACTTATTGGTAGAGGACGGAGGCGGTCGCCAGTGGACCGAATATCGAGGTACGTACACCAAACCGGTCGAGTAACTTTTCGTCCGAGGTGTCCTACCGATCGCCGCTTGAAAATGGGCGCCCTGGTTTTGTTCCTTCAATAAGGTACACGTTGGCCGGGCTCATTTGACGATGAGGTAAGCTAGTTCTGTTTGAAGGATCTGCTAGAATGTGATAGCTAAAATTTTTCTCGCGAATTGGAGACTGTACTCTTTTATTCGGCCAAATCGTCGGTAAGCTGTTACACTGTTAGCCCATACAGTTTTATCAGAGTAATGAGTTGAAATTGCTTTTTTTTTATAAAATACATTATTCTAGTTTTGATGAAGCTCTTAATATATCTCTGGATGGATCCATGACTAATTATTCAAGTAGCTTCGCCCAATCAAATACTTATTTTGTTGATATCGATTAAAATTTTTCACCGAATCTCGCAAACGTTTCAAAATGTGAACAAGATGGGTTATATTTGGATTTCCAGTGAAATCATACCTAACATAACTGAAGGTAAATCAATCAAACGGTATGGATGTGTAGTTGTTGAAGATCACAGGTTAGCCTGTACAATTTTTTTTTTTTCCTGCAATAAAGGTGTAAGAAGAGAGAATGGCGTAATTTCGGACGTTTTATCATGTGCGTGCCATCGGGCTACATGTGACCTTGAACGAGACAAAATGAGTCATTGACCAGTGTAAATGGTATGTCCTTTGACGCATACTTTTAAAATTATTTTTCTTTTTTCCCAACCGATTAGTAAGTATGGTTAGCGGGCTCGCACAAAGTAAATTTACATTTTCAAATTTTGTTTATGCTTGTCGATTGAAAATTACCATACGAGTCATCGGGCAAACTCTGAGAAAAACACAAGCGCCAAAGGAACTATATGATTTAAAAATTATTGGAAATTATTGGAGGTACCTATGGTATAGGTACGAAAAGGAGGTGGTGAAAAAGACGCTAAGGAGTTCGGAGAGGGTGAGGTTTGAATAAATAAAAACGAAGCAAGGCAATAGGATATGACGTCATCACCGCCGAGGCGCGTGCTTATAACATATTTATTTTACGTTTTTCTTTACTCATATACTGTTTCCTTATCATATAGACATGTATTTATATTGTATGGCAGTATAATACGACATTGTATAATATATATTATAGGTGTGAAGTGACTGACAGAACGATTCAATAAATTTATCTATCTCTCTCTCTCTCTTGCACTCTTTTTTTTCCTTTTTCTCTACAATCGGACGCTCAATCACGCATCTTCGTATCTTGATTATGTCATTGTTTGCGAAATAAAAGTTTTCTCGTTTGAATCGCAAAGTAATCATATACGCACATACCAATACGACTTATTTTCTCCTCTAAAGCCTCGCGCAAAAATTAATCGACTACAACGTAAAATATACACATCAGACTCATTCTCGTCACCAAAGTATATGTACTATGATATTTTTCTCTCCCGCAACGTTACAATCAATAACTTCGCTCGCATTATACAATTGTTAAATTCATGTTACACAATAAACAAGCCCACAAATTCGCTTTGCCTTTTCTCTTTTTATTACTCTCTTTTATATTTACTTTAAATCGATCCCATCGGGTGTATAATAATTATATACCAACGCGCTGTATCGATATTTCGATCGATGAGCATAATCACGAATATGTGTATGTATATTTATATTTATATGTATATTTCGAATTGCCGTTTTTACGATTCAAGATTCGTTTGATACCGACCGACCGACCGACCGCTCGTGGCTAACCTGCATAAACAGCTCATTAAGTTTTTTTTTTAAACTCTTACTCTCTAACGTTCCCTTACGCTCTGCCTATAGTTACATTTTCCATTTAAAATATTCGTA